GTATACGGAGGAAATGTAATATTATTTTACATGTTTAGATAAATTGATTTCCAAGATGGCACTTTATGAGGAAATGGACTAGAAGACTCATGCGTTTGAGAATAATAGAATATATTATATTTTTGGATATATTGGTTGCATCATGGGTGTGTGACCATTGTATGGTGATAAATGAAGTACAACAGTTAAATAAAACAATGTGTGGTCCCCATGTAATTAATTTACCTGATGTGTTGGGTCATTAATTGTCAGGTGATATGTACATTGTTTACATCATAGTTCTTTTTGGTCTCCAATATGGTGGCTGATGGTGGGGATGCTGCATGTTCCTGCTGTTAGTGGGGGCGGGGCCTGCACATGCACAGTTCTTTCTCCACATACATTTCTTCTGGGTAAGTGCCATGGGGTTGTGACGTTGAATGTGTGCCATGATCAACCAGGCTTTGGTGGCACACAGCATGCTTGCTATCATTCCGGCGAGGCCATTTTCACAAGGCTCAATTATGTATATTAATGAGCAATACCTTGGCAAGGATGCATCTCTGAGGAAACCAGAAAAGATTGCCGAAACCAGTCAGTCAGATCTTACTGCCCACCCACCATTGGGACCCCATTAGGAACCACGCTAATCTCAGTCACTCTTTCATTCACTGCTTGAGGATTGGTGAACAACATCATGTTTTTCTGTTCTTCTGAATGGAAATTGTAAGTAGACTCTTTGCATATATCCATGGAGGATGTACAGGAGGATACACCACTACAATAACAGCAAGTATATCTGGAGGATGGACATTTTATAAACTGCTTGCAAACCAAGAAGTATACCAAATACTCCCCCATGTTACACTGCCATTGTTAGATCACATATGAAACAGTGGGATTCCATTGATCATACATTTCTTCGGGTTGCTTGAGTAACTCTATACATGACATTGCCTGGTTTACCTAATCTATAACTGCCAGTGAGAGCAGTGTGTGTGTAGTTGTCAAAATCCTGTGTGCCCGTCTACATGAAAGCAGAGTCTACTGACTGGAGGTGTCTGGAAACTTCCTTACAAGCCTGTAAATTGTGAGTAGTGGCAACATAGACATTAGTGTATGCGTGTTGTTGTATAATGACCGCTACTTGTGTCTGGGTTTGTGTCCTTTGGGGCTCTTGCAATGATTGGCAAGCTTGCTGGTCATGTTTTAGGGAACGTGGAGTTTTTGTGATAATTTGCCAGAATGCTTGTCGGTTTCCAACAATGTTCTGTGGATGGTGATAGCTCATGCATGGACCAGCCTTTTCCTTCCCTGTACCCATGACATCCACAATCTGAAAACCAGCATATCAATTATTAGGATTCAATTATGAATTGAGAGACCAAACTTTATATATACAGTATATCTGATGTATATATCTTTTATGAGGTTTGATATGTCTTACTAGACTCCTTGACCTTGTAATATAGTTGTGTTGTGTTTGTGAGTTGTATTCTTCATATACATTAATGTAACCACCTTTTTGGAAGGTAACTACATTACAGTAGGAGTTATGGAATATGAATGATACTTATTTCCTATGCTCCTCGTCTCCATCTAGTGACCGTCATGTGGTATTGTATTACATTACATTCATCTTGAAAAGTTACTAAAAAATATACTTAAAACACTTGTTTTCTTCTCTATTCGCACAGAATGAACGTTCACAGAGATTCGCAGGGTGAATAGCTCTGTGAATTGTTTATAAATAGACCCCTTAGACATGAACACATGAAGCAGTTTTTGTTTTTCTGAGTAACACAGTTTTATTATTTTTAGATCTATTATTTGACAACTACAACTACAAGGTGTGCAGTGGAATACATCCTCTTCCAGACAACTAGGAAAACATAGACATGACAGTTTCAGAGGTCTTGAGGATATGTTTCCTATAGACCTGCCATTTTATTATGAACGTCAGCATTCCTTCTGCACTGTACTTCTGAGGTTTACCAGCAGACATCATTCTCAGTCATGGTTCCATTGTAGACTTCTATCTCGCATAGGGTCAAGTATTCTCTGCGCCCCGGGATCACTGCGCTGATGTATCGACCCGCCATCCCATTGCAGCAGAAAGTTGTGGTTGGATTAGTATAGTCAGTGATCGTACCGCACCTGCCGAGGACAAGCAAAGACCAACACAATGATACAGAAAATGGAATCCGTTCATTTGGGGAGAGGTTTAAAAAAATGGGCCCATAGAAAACATACACTGCTATGCGGCTTAATAAGACACAAATATGAATAATAACTAGGCAATAGAGATGAGCGGAGTGACTTTGGGGAAAACTTACTAATATCATTGTTAAACCGTACCCATTAAACCACGCCCCTCAGAGTAAGACTAATCCACTACTTACCACCAGTGCTGAGCGAACTAGCCTGGGTTTGCTTCATTTTAATGTTCACTGAACCCAGCCAGTAATCCAGCTTCATCAAATGTCGAAGCAAACCAAAGCCAGGACAGTCTGTGTACTATCATAATTGTTTGCTAGCAACTGGTCCGTATTAGTTGCTAGGATGCAAGCAGGCATATCCTAACAACCAATGTTGCTATGGTTCTGACTGTGTCCTAGCAACTAGCATCATTGGTTGCTAAGTTGCTGGCAGCTCCACAGCATCATAGGTTGTTATGGTTCACCCGCCTGCATCCTAGCAACCACTGATGCCATGTGGCTCAGCCACCAGTCAACCAATGACGGGCAGGATACACAGCATCATAAACTGCTAGAACAAAGACAGATGTGTGGCAGGTGGACAAGCTGGGCAAACCGTTCACCCATTCTTCAAATTGCCTACAGCTTGGGCTCAGGGTTGAGCTCATGGTTCACCACTGTGCATGTGTGCTTAAAAATGGGCTCTCACTTTGTCTGGTTGGCCCCAGGTACCCTGGTCTAATTTTATATTTAACGTCTTTAGTATCAAAAGCTAGCCCTGTGGGTAAAATCCAGTCATATATTGTTATTTCCTATTTTGGGTTCAAGCTGGCACTGGGGGCCTATCACATTTAAGGCCTATGTTGATAACCTTTAGTTCACAGCAGATGAGTTTTGTATTCTGAAATAAATCAATGGAAATACAGGTAAAATGCAGGTCAGAAGCAGCTTAAATGCAGGTCACATGCACCTGTCAATGGATTCTGAATAATCTCAGAAGCATTTCAAGCTGATGCCATTAACACAAGCCCAAAGCCCACCAACAGGCCTGGTGCTACCGCACTTACCTTCGGTGCGGGAGAGCAGCGGCGAGTCAGCGCTGGTCCAGTGGGAGGAGCTCCAGGTGGGGTCCTAATTTAGCTGGCCGGCGACTGCCTGAGGATCCTGACACGCCCCACCTGGAGCTCCTCTCACCGGACCAGCGCTGACTTGCCGCTGCTCTCCCGCACCGAAGGTAAGTGAAAAAAAAAAACATAGCGCAAT